TCTTTCACGTGCTCTGTATCATGTGGGGAAAAAACAGTTTATAGAAAAGATGAGTTGAACTGTAAACACTGCACCCTGGTAAGTCTTCCATATAGTCATATAATTATGATTTCTTTTACTTTCTTCAGATTTTCCTTGAAGTCCAGCTAAGAATGCAACCAACAATAAAGTGAAAAAGCTGTGCACCTGAAGAAGCATCCTTCTACTTGGTGAAAATGTCTCTTATTTTTTGACAACGATTAAAGGACAATGGGGTCAAACACACTTGGGAAGGCTGCAACATTAGATGAGCTTTTGAATGCTTGTATTGAAATGTTTGGTACGCTTTTCAATATTTTACTTTGCTGTTCTTGAAAATAATGGTATAATATAACCCCTGCCGTTCTTTGATTTAGGCAGCCTTTCCCTTGGCAAACAACATTTCTGTTCTGTAAAATTTTCCATGTTTCATTTTGGCCCAGAATCACATGGGCCAGAATTTTAATCACATGCATACTATATTAAATTTTCTTAATACAGATAATGCAGAATGGTGGGTATAGTGGTTTTTAAAATGCTGGCCTTCACCAAGAGAAATGTTTAGTTGAATTATTCAAGGAGTTATTTCTGGCATTGATCTTTGTCTTGAGTGGTTACACAGCTGCATTTCTGACCAGTCATTTTTTTGGAAGATTTTCCGAATTATCATGCAATAATTGGCAAGAATATGACTTAAGGCTCATGTAATCTTTTTACTCTTATTAAAATATGATGTACCAGGTCTGAGGGAAAGAAGTGATGAAATAGACCTTGATTCATAACACCATTAATCATGACATATGTCACATTGCAGTCAGATGACTTCATGGATGAGCTTAAATGCTTTGAAATGGGGGCTTAATTCACAAAGCTACATTTAGATTCTCTTGAAATGCAGGACAGCTTTTGATTGGAATGAGGTATTGATTTTTTTATTCCTTGTGGAGAGAAACAAAAGATTTTGTAGCTATGGCCTGTTATCTACACTGGTTTGGGGTTTTTTCCCTTTAGATACCTAGCACTACAGTCTAGCAATAGTTATTGTTGAAGGAGCATTTTGGGGCTTTGGCTTTGTTTCCTACCTATTTGGTAGATAATGAGCCAATATTTCCACTTTGGATCCTTTCTGCCTGACTCCACTTGAAGAATAAAAGCTCCTCTCTGTTCGTGAATAAGGTGGTTAACTCATTGTTTCTTTTGTAGATGACAAAGGAAATCGATGCTCCAACCATTTGCCAAGAACCTTTCTTTTAATGCATCGGTGGTATCTGCCTTCCACAGAGCTGGCTGGCAAGCTTCTGTCCGCATATCCTTTCACAAAGTCTTGCAAATTGACATTACAATGTCAAAAGCAGATTGTTTCTGTGACTGCATGTAAAAATGTGCCAATTCATTAATGACAAACAGGTTTTAGAGGTGAATTTTTTTCAGCCTAAAAGATGGAAGCCTGTGAGCTTCTTTATGCTACTGCTTGTCGACTTCTTCCATATGTACAAGCCTATTGAGGCGTACTTTGCATTAACTTTGAATAAGTGGAAATATGTGGCCAAGATAACTTTTTCAAATGTATCACAGCAGTCTGGCCTTTGACTACTATGAGCTTTCAGTGGTAGCTAAGCACCTACATGTAATTTATACCACTTAAAGAATTCAGTAATCATAAGTATTATCATATTTGGTTGGCCAGAGCTGGCAAGAAACCATTCAGCAGAATATTCAGAATAGTATAATAGAGGCATTTTTGCTAAGGGGGAAAAAAAAAAAAAAAAGGGCAGCCAGGAAATGGTCTTTGTCCCCTGAGATGCTGTGAAACTGTGTGAAATATCAGAGCATACTGTTATCTCTAGAAGAAAAGTTTAATACCTTTTTTTATTCAGCTGGTCTAGTGTCAGAGTTTTCTGTGGATAAAAACATTGCTGAATCAAGGCACACAAAGCTTTCTTTAACTAGCATACATATAGAGATGCCAATGGGGAGAACTGCAATGAAATCAGATTAAAAATCTTCTATTTCATGAGGTAAGCATGCTTCTGGTTCTCTAGCATTTTGGTTTTATGCTTCTGTGAATACTATCAATGTAATTTCTTTTTGTAAAGATTAAAACTAAACCATGGAAATACAAAGCTTTTATTTTCTTTCTTATTTTTTCTCACTTGATGTCCAGTCCATAGCGAAGAGTGAATTTCTGTGCTTTGAAATCAATTGTTTAAGTTGAGCCATCCAGCCTTTAAGATGCCTAACTGCATTGTGCTAAAAATCTGATTGAAAACTTGTGCTATGGTTTACCTGGTGTTTGACATGAGGTGTGTGACACCTTTTAGAGGAGGCTAGTTCAGTGCCACACAGAGGAGAGACACATTTTGCTTCAAGATGTAATCTAGTGTGGTGGAGGAAGATTGTCTCTGGGCTGTCGACTTCGGTTCACGCAATCCCTACATAATTTCTGACGACAGGATTGTGTTAATGATGCCAAAGCTATTACAGGTCAAGTATGTTCTGATCCTTGCACCAACTGTCTCTGACCTTATTTCTATGGGAAAGCTTTCACATGTTAAAGCTGTGCTTGTGTAGGAACATTTCTCCGTAAAAGAGAAAGCATGAATTTTTAAGTTAATGTGATATAACCAGCTTCCCTCAAACAAATGTTTTTTCCTCCTTCCTCTGGTCTAAGTTATATCACCGTGAAGAAAAGTGAAGGGGGTTATTGAAAGCAGGACTGATAAAGCCTTTTCCATACACCCTTAGATAGCAGAGGAGACATCTCGTTTACATGGTTATCATGGTAGAACTGCCACTCAAACTCACATTTTCATTTTCATTGAAAAATCTTTTCTGGGCAGACAAAGTGTCTCACCTGGACAAGGGCTAAGTGCAAGTGTCATTTGGGTGTCCTGGCTGCGTGAGTCAGGACACTGTGTGCGTGCCTTTTGCGGGTGTCACCTGAGCCATCGCTTTAATTTGGCATTTCAATAGAATGCTGCTGTGTTGTGCTGTGGTGAGTTAACCGAAATTTTATGATAAAGTGGCTTTTGCCACTTCAGTGTCACACATAATTACAGAAGCAACAGGTTGAGGTAGTCCACCCTCTCTGCCCAAAGACCAGTGAGTCTGAAATACTTGTAAGTCCTATTAAATAAAATTTATGTACATATATGCAGCCACTGAATGCTATGCCTGAATCCCTGGGCATCTCTTAACCACTGTTTGTGGATTTCAGATACTGGATTTTGGAATTTCCTGCAGAGTTTAACTTGGATCTTGGACTGATTCGTTTGACTGAAGAGTTTCGAGAACTAGCCAGCCAGCTCGGCTATGAGGATCACATCCATCTCATTGATATCTCCAGCATGTAAGGATGTCATGAACTTCAACATCTTTGTCTCTGTAACAGCAGAATTGTAGATCTGTGCAAAATATAAAAATATTAAGGGCCATCTTGATCTTGAGAGAGGAAAAAACAGTTACAAAAAGATTATATTGTCTTCTAAATTTGAAGGTACTAAAAAATTGAAATTCTAGTTGTAGCATCAGAGTAAAGAGAAGATTCTTATCTGTATGTAAATTTTTAATATAAGCAGGAAAGACATAATTTCCCTAACAAAGCTAATGCCAATGATGTGATTAATATTACATCTTTCCTATAATTTTTCATACAGAATGACAAGCAATACAGTGACACTGGCATGTTGTGTAAATCTTGGATTTTCTCAGGGAAGCTTTTTTGTTCTCTCATCAGTAACTTGTTAGTTTTTTCTAATGGCTTTCTGTGAACTTCTTTTCTATGATTTAACTGGATGATCTTTAGCATTCACATTTGTAGTTTTATTGCATCGAAATTACTACATTACTATTTCCTTGACACACATGAAATGAAAGTTACCTTTTAAACACAAGCAGACAGGATCTTGTATCTCACCTGATATTGTAGATATTCTTTTAAAATATGGCACACACATAGTGATTCCTCCTTATTTAAAAATGGCATAGTAACCTGGAAGGGCAGCACTACTAATCTCAATGAAGGTTGCAAGACTTCCTGCAAAAACAGCACCAGTGAAATCATATGAATATTGCCTCTTAAATCTTCATTTTAAAATATTGTTAGCAACCTCCCTCTGCTCTCTGAAGTGCTTTTACTGTATATGGGTAGGAATTACTCCATTGCTTGCAAGCAAATTATTTTCTTTTTTGTCACCCATTTCTTACTGTTTTGTTAGCTGTTTGACTGACTGTTCTGTTGTTCCATTATTTCATGGACCTGTGGTCTTACAGGGTAAAGATTAATCTTTGTTACTTAAGTCTTTTTTTTTATTCTGTATCAGAATTTGGTGTGACCTGTTCTTCTTGTATTTCCAAAGCATTTTTAAATTACGGCTTCCTGTATCATAGAGAAGAGTACATTGTACTTTTGTTCCGATAGAACCTGCTATTATTTATCATTTGCGGTGGTGCCTCTGAAATTCTTATCTTCTGTTATGCACACCTGAACAGGTCTTACTCTGAGTGTTTGTTATGTGCTGGATGTCACAGATGAGAAAGTTCACGGTCTATTTCTTGGTAATGTTGTACTATGTGTGCAATCTGTGGGCTACACTCACATATACCTGAACAGAATTGAGAATTATACCTATTTTTCTGTTGCAGTCCTTCGTATGACTGGATGAGAAGAGTTACACAGAGGAAGAAGATTTCCAAGAAAGGCAAAGCCTGCCTGCTGTTCGACCATCTGGAGCCCATTGAGCTAGCTGAACATCTCACTTTTCTGGAGCATAAATCTTTTAGGAGAATTTCTGTAAGAACCCTACAGCTTTGTCACTTGCAATTAGGAGCATGTCCTTAAAGAGTGTTCACAGGGTTTAACATTTATGATTTTTTTTCCCCCGTGACATCTCAGTGTGGTAAATCTTTATAATCCTTCATATAATGTACATAGCTATGGCTGCACCAGCACTTCCTTGATCTTTTTCATGACTGATGCTTTCAGTGACAGAAGTTAACTTTGTGGAGAAATTCTGGGCCAAAATTACTGCTAAAAGCTACTGCAGCCATGTGTTGCAGCAACTGATTAAACTAATATTATTGTTCAAAATCTTCAGGTGGGTTTTTTTTGTTTTCCTCTGAGGAAAAGAATTAATTACTTTTCAGGAAACATCAGAGTCTTTGAAATGAATAATTTTTGAAGAGACTGAAATGTATATAGTCTTCCTGTAGCTTCTGTTCACTCCCAACCACTTCTTCAGAACTGTCCTTTCATTTGCCAACTTAGGATAAGAAGATAATTTAGGTTGGAAGGGATCTCAGGAGGCCTCTAGGCCAACCCACTGCCCAAAGCACGGTCAGCCCTGAGGTAGATCTTGTTCCTCGGGGACATGGGTCAGCCAGTTGGATCTTGAAAACCTGCAAGAAGAGAGACTGCACAACTTCTCTTTCCTCCTCCTCCCATATTGGTACTGAGGAAAATTCAGATACAGTTGCTTCTTTTCACATAGGATTGTACATGAACAAGAGTCAAAAATGGATGAAAATCAAAGTAGAAGCTAAAGCAAAACAAATGAGTAATCCAAATGCCAAAAGAAATGCTGATTCCATCCATATGAAAAGGTCACATGATGCTACTGTATCTGGTGGCAAATGGAAGCAGTATGTTCTCAAGATGACAAGTTCTCTTTAGCAAAAAATTAGACTTTTTTAAACTGTTTGGAGCATGAAAGAAATCAAACTCCAAAACTAAGAGAAATATATGAGGGTTTTTGTTTGTTTCAAGAGAGGAAGGAAAAAGAGATCAAGGAGGAGCTGAGACCAGCCTAAATACATTCACTTTTGATGTCATTTAATAACATTCAAAGTTTATTACTCTAGACTTCAAATCATGGGAAAACACCCTACTGTGATCCATGCAATGCTAAACTCGAAGGAGGAGGGAGGGACAAGAAAACGGCATGGATTTCTAACTATACTTAAGATATATTTTAATTCTTTTGGGAATTCCAGAAAGAAAACTCAGACCTGCAATGAATTTTCTTTTTTCTTTGCAGTTTCTAATTTGTCTGTTAACCTTTGGCTTGAATTTTGCTATCTCGATATTTCTCTGGAACCAGTTAGAGTTAATTAATCTTGTAGTACTTGTTATCTAAAAGCTATGTATTTGTAGAAGTTGATTTGTCTGAATCCTGTCTTTGGTTTTACCTGTTAAAAAAAAATATGGGGGGAGACAGAAGGGCAGTGTTAACTATAACAGAAAACATTTAAAAGTACCTGAACACTGAAATACTGTTTATCTGCAGCTCTGAAACAAGCATCTGCTGTGTAAGAGTATATGCTGTCATATGGTCTTCTAGCAGGCAATTTTTGATCAGCTAAGACTAAGAAACCCATGTTGGCTGGCATTGCTAGCAACTCCCTACACAAGCTAAAGTCATGTCATAAGTGTCTGAAAATCTGTCTTTAAGGGACAGCTGAAAAATGTTTTCCAAACATTTAAGGAAATCTAATTCTTGGGAGCCGTAGCTCTCCCACATAGAACCATGTCCATGAACAAAGGGATTGAACAATAACATCAAAAGAAGCAATATTTATCAGAAGTAGCTCCTTGCACGACAGAATTTGTTTGACATAGGAGGAAGAAAATGGGTGCATAGTTAGCTTCTGGGATGCCATTCAGGCTCCTGTGAAGAGTGACAGAGCTCCTATTGATTTCACTGGGGCCAAGATTTCCCTCTTTACATCAACAATGGAGTTGATCAGAGTATTGGAGTGGGATGAAAGCTCTTATTTATATGCTTCTTGCTTGTAGCACTAGATACTTCCTACAGAGTATCATGCCATGAGTATGTCAAGTAAAACTACACAGAACAAAATGTTGTGTTGAGTAAATTATAGGAAAGATAATTCTGTGGAAGTAGTAATCTTACTCATCATGCAGGCTCCTGTATTACCTGATACACAAACACCAAAGTTTTGAGTTGACGTTTAAGTAAAAAAACAACCAAACACAAAAAACCCCACCCCAACCACAAAAAGCTTTTAAGAAAGAACTGATGTGCAGCAAGGTCTGCTGACCTTGAGTCTTGGTCGCTTTCTAAACAAGAGGAGCTTTAAAAAGAAAAAATTACCAAAGTTTCAAATTGATTCTTAAGTTGTGCACTGTTTTACTGAAAATGTGTTTATTCTGTTAGTTCACAGACTACCAAAGCTATGTGATCCATGGCTGCTTGGAGAACAACCCTACTTTGGAGAGATCTATTGCTTTATTTAATGGTATCTCCAAATGGGTCCAGCTCATGGTTCTCAGCAAACCAACACCCCAGCAAAGGGCAGAAGTAATCACAAAGTTTATCAATGTTGCACAGGTAAGTCTTGCATATGAGTCTTTTTCTTCCAGTATAAAGCAATAATATAAATGGAGATTGCAGTAAACAAATGAAATGGATGCTCTTTGTGCTGTTTCCTCAGTGAATAGCCTGTTCAACATCACTCCAGATTATTTGTTCAGGTGTGGTATGTCTGCATTTTTTAACTAGCAGACATAACTATAAAATACTTTTTCTTTGTTGTGTTCTAGTTGACAACTGTCACTATTGTGTGTTTCTTGTGGAGCTAAGCTAATTAAAAAAAAAAAAAAAGAAATGCTGAACCATTCTGTTATGTCCTTTGGTTTAGTGATTTCTGCTTTAGCAGTGAGAGGTTGTCTCTTTTACCTTGTTGTGCGTGACACTGGATAGCCATCCCATGTATTTCCTTGTTTTTTAATTATGCACGATCAATCTCTCCTGCAGAAGCTCCTTCATCTCCAGAATTTCAACACACTGATGGCAGTTGTGGGAGGTCTAAGCCACAGCTCTATTTCTCGCCTGAAAGAAACTCATTCTCATCTGTCTTCAGAAGTCACAAAGGTATGGTGGACTCCAGAATATAGACATATTGAGCAGAACATCACATCTTTGAGGCCTGATGGGTTCTGCAGTGCAGGTGTCTCACCAGCACAATACTTGGATCATGGCAGGGCATCCTAAAAGGCACTTTGGTTGCATTCCTCTTGGTGGAGGAGGATCAGCTCATGGAGATCCTCTGCTTTGTTGCCTGTGCCAGAGAGGAAGTTAACACTGTCGACACCCTGACATGAGTTGTGCTCATTTAAAACAGATTAAGGAAATGCTATGAATGCTTTCACAGCGGCTTACATCTCTGGCTATTTGTAGGACTGGAACGAAATGACAGAGCTGGTCTCTTCCAATGGAAACTACTGCAACTACCGCAAGGCTTTTGCTGACTCTGTTGGCTTCAAAATTCCTATTTTAGGAGTTCATTTGAAAGACTTGATTGCTGTCCATGTCATTTTTCCTGACTGGATAGATGAGAACAAAGTTAACATAGTGAAAATGCAGCAGCTTTCCATCACCTTGAGTGAACTGGTTTCCCTGCAAACTGCTTCTCATCATTTAGAACCTAATATGGATTTAATTAACCTGCTAACTGTAAGTATTGAGCATGTTTCAATTAATTCCTGTTATTCAGATGTTGCATATTCATATCTATGGAGATAAGTGCCCATTGTTATCCCAGCTTTGTACAAGAAAAGCGAGAGAATATAAAACAGAAACAAGTTCACATGAGGTATGAATGAAGTCAGAGTTTCATTACTGTAGTATGTGATGGCTGGAGGCAGCAACAGGATTGTTATCAATTAACTATTTCAAGGATGACAGACAGAGGTCTGTATTTCTGTTAGCAGAAGTAAAAACTAAGTTCTGACTACTTAGAAGTGAAGCTTACGTCTCCTGCGCGAAGATCAGGTGATGCATTGACATGGACACACAAGTGAAATTCCAACTTGGGCATCACTCTGTTCTCACTCCCCTGTGCTTTGTGTGCGACACAGTACTCTTCCTACCCAGTAAATAAAAATGCTCTTGAATGTTGTTAAACAGCCCCTGCAACTGCTGCTTTTTCCCTTCTCCTTCCCCCTTGGCAGTGGCTGCATTTGGGGAGGTTTGAAACATGCACACACTAAATACAGATCAGGATTTGAATTTTCAGTCCCCTGCATGATATGTAGACAATAAATGTCATTTTAATAAATACTACACTTTATTTTAAAACATACTGAAGTGTGGTGACTGAACCATCAGGCCAAATCCTGTTTCTGTTTCAATATAGTCATTTTAGCACTGATCTCAACTAGAGCAGTGTTTGACCCAGCAACATAATTTGTTCAGGTCATGGGCAAAACCCAGTATCTTGGAATTAAAGATAGAACCTGTGACACTTGGGAGAAAAAAAAAAAAGTATATTTGTTATAAAACAGTTGATGTTGCAAGCAAATAAAAGTCACCTACTCACCTGAGAGTAGTCTGAAACATGTCATGTTAGGTAAAGGACTCTCTCAATATGTAATCATTTTATGCTGTTTCTGTTCTTGTTATTTAACTTTGTCTTTCAGATCTCTAATCTGGACTGAAAAAGAATCACTCTGCTCTCCTTAAATCAATATAATTCTTTTAAAACTAAACTTAGAACTAAACAAGGTCTGTGTGTAAATAGGACAAAATTGAGATTTTTCCAGTGTTTGTTTTGTTGGATAGCATGAACTTCTCAAAACCCTATGTTTTTCTCCAAATTTCTTTTTTTTTTTCTTTTAGGTGACAAAAAAAAAAATCTAGATCAAAAGCCAGGGAAAGAATTTGACTATTTCTGAATAGCTGTGTCCAGAATAGACAATGTCTCAGCATTGTCCCCCAATCCCTGGGGAGGTGGGAAACAAATTCCAGTTTTTCCTCAGTCAGGTCACAGACTTGAGGTGATTCTCATTGGAGGGCTATTGGGCAGGAGTCTTAGGATTTTCTCCTTTCAGACTTTCCATTAAAATGCTTAAAAATATGCATATCCAGAAAGCAAGCAGAGGTTGTAGTTTGTGGTGGATTTATACTGGGACTGATCAGGAACAGAGCTTTATGCTACAGAAGCTGACAAATATGAGCCTGAGCTTGGAGCTCCCAAGCTGGTGTTGGATATACCTGTGGCTTCACTGTAATGAGGAATGGAAAAGTTTGGGGGAATAAGAAAACTTTCTCCTGTTGCACCTTGTATGGAACAATCTGGGAACAAGCCCTAGTCCTGGTTAGTGGGACAGGGAAGAGAAGGAACCATGTATTGCCCACTGTAACACCCCTTTAATTTAAATATTGGACGCTAAAGGCAGGTATCGATTATCTTGTTTTGTTTTTGTAGGGATTGAGAGTCGCTTTCTTATCTTGTGCCGCTCTTTCACTCCCTGGTTGTTTCTGAAAGTTCTCAGCTTCTTACAAGCTTGGCTGTGAGCAGCTAATGAACTTATATAGTAGATTAAATGTTTCTGTCAATCTTTTTGTTAATAAGAAAGTTTTAAATTATAGGCTGGGATCAGAGAAAGAAGAGAAGAAAATGTAGGATTGCAGCCCAAAGCTGACAAGAACTGCTGACTAAAAATAGCTGACCTTGCTACGTGCAAATGGTCTTTTAGCAGATTTAGCCTCTCTTGCTGCCAAAGTCATCCTCAGTTTTCAGAGCCTGAAGAAATAATTCTTCTATTTATTGCTAGGTCCATCCCTTGCAGTGTTGCCTTTTACACCACACTTAGCCTTGCCTGTGCTTGTTTGACAAGTCAATCACTGGGTGTTGGTTTGCTAGGCCAACAACTTGCACAAGAGATAAAATGGGTATTTCATGGGCATGTGGGAATTTGCCCTGGTTTTTCTTTTCCTTGGTGGTGGAGCGCTCTCTGCTCTGGGGGAGCTGATACCTTTCAAGTGGTTTGGAAATGGTGACGTTTGGGGAGACCATGTTCAGAGCTATGACGTGAGAGCTTGGCTTAAAAGCTGGGGCAAGGGCTCGGTAGTAAAATTCAGGCCACCTGATCAAGGGTCTTATGGGCATTTTTCAAATGCTGTCATGTGTATAGACCAAAAGGGTGAATTGGGGAATGAGAGGTGTCTCTGGATTCAGTGGTAGCTACTAAATGATCAGCATTTTAGAAAGCTGGTCTCTTTCTTGCCTTAAATGACTGCACACAAACTTAGAAGTCTAAGTCTACCCCCTCCCATTATTGTCAGCATAAAAAATCAGCTGCTAGCTCACAGAATTTTAGCTTTGAACAAGCAGCTGAAAGAGGCCAATATTTTGCATGGACGTTAACACAAATAAGCGCAAATAAGGCAAAGGTTTGCTGTATGGAGGGCAGTGAGACAAGTGCCAGGTTTACCTGCACAGGAGACTGCAAAAGCCGAGAGGGAGCTCCAGTGATGCGAGTCCTCCCTTGTGGTGTGTCAGTGAGTCTGAGTTACATGGGCAAGAGAAGTAATTGTGCCACCACGACTCAGCTGCCAGCGAGCCAGAGCGTCCATGAAGATGGACTCACTTCTTAGTGCATGCTTGCTCTTACTCTGTGTGGTTCTTCCTCCTTTCCTGCCTTATTGGCCACACTCGCTCCGTCTCCAGTGACTTTGTACCCGGTTCTGTACCAGTCCCTGGCATCCAAAACCTGGAGCTAAGATGTAGAAGTAGTGAAAGAGGACTTAAGCACGAGCTTGGCAGTGCACCAGAGAGGAATAATAGCTCTAATGGCATTTTCATCATTAGAAAACTTGCATTGGGTAAGGATGCTTAAGGGATTTCCTTACCTGCTGTACAGTATTTCCACATTGGTTTTATTTCACAATGGGAATACAAGCCTGTCGGTAAATGTTCCATCACTTTCTGTGGATTGGAAGTGGATCTCAGTCTCTCAACTAGACAACAGTGTATTTATACTAACTGCGTTAGAACTTATTTGGTGCCACCATTTTCCCCCCACTATTTTTAGGTATCAACAGTTATTTATCTAACCTGTTCTGAGACTATATGCAAATGACTGGAAAGTCCCAGTGATTTATACAGTCTAGTGAAGAGAATGAGAAATATCTAAACGATCAAATTGAAAGTCACCCTCCCTAACTTGTGTTCAGTAAGTTCCACTTACAAAAAAAAGTTCCACAGTGCCTTTCTGATTGCTCCCTCCCCTCCTCACTCCCCCCCCCCCCCCACCCTCAGTGAAGATAAGGACAACCAAGAA